CACAGGTCATCTGCAGAGATGGGTTCACGCTGATTTTATTCTCCCTTATTAAAGAAGTAAAGTTGGCAGTGTGTTGATCTAAAGCCAAATGAGCACTTGGGAGCGGGCAGTTGTCAGGGGAGCAGGTCATCCCCACAAAATGTACTCTCTGAGAACCCCAAGCAAGAGGTTGTCCTGTTTGCCCTGCACTTTTCTATGTCCCACATGCAGCCCAGAAGCAAGGCTCAGCTAAGATAAGGTCAGACACCAAACAAGAGCAGGCATGGTCTTGATTGTGTTTGAAAATGGTGGCTGTTTCTGAGACTTCCAAGTCTGCTTGTTGGCACCTTGTGACAACCAACGTCCATGCCTATCTCATCCCCAGAAGCCTCATTCAATTGCTCTGAGATTGTCATGGGATTTTGCCAACCTCTCCACATGATTTTGAGATGACATCAAAGCTGCTGAGAACTACAGTCGTATTGAAAAAGATAATTAACTTTTTGAATACTTACTGGGTGCCAGATAGGGCACTGAGTAGTCTTCCTGCATTAACCATTTTATTTATTTCTCCCAGTCCTCCCATGAGACAAGCTTATCCCTATTTCAGATAACACTGAGAGCTTAAGCCTGTAAGTCTCTAGGTAGAATTTGATTCCTAGTCCACTTAACTCCAAAGCCTATGCCTTTTTCACTCAGCAACCTTCTCAGAGAACCCAGAATTTGGAAAATAAATACTTAGATAAACTCTCCAGGAGTCTACATAAGAGATACTCTCATGTGCCTACTTATCTGATTAGGCATCTTCCTTGTCTTCTATGTAATTTGTGGAAGAAGGACCAGAAACTATTTTATTAGGGACTTTGAACATTTCAAAAGAGATTTGGTTACAGCATCCAATCTCCAGAGTCCCCAGGTGCCATCCTGGCAAGGACAATCCCTTTGCCAAATACTCCTGCTCTTACAAAGCACTCTTCAGGCAAGGATCTCGAAGCACAATGTAATTAATAAAATCACCCACATCCTGTCTAGATGAACAGCATTTTATATGTACAAATTCTCTCTGCCCTCAGGCTCTCTGAAAGAACATGAATGTTTCCAATTTTGAAGAATGAGCAATAGAGTAATTGAAATGAGCTGTATTTTGGGCAACTCCAAAGACCTCAAAGGCATTTATAGTGACCTATATGAGAAAACATGGCAACCACAAAGTGTGCCATAATGGCTTGTCAACCATACTGTGCTAATAACTGGTTCAAAGATAGAAAAGACAGGGTAAAAATAAAACATCCAGTTCTTACAAGTCAGATACCTCTGGAACTGATACTGTGATCTGTCTGGTCAGGTCTCCAAAGGATCTAGAAGCAGTGAAGAGATGACATTAGCTGATGATCCAGTTACTTGGGCTAATCAAGGCACAGGGGACAGACGGGGCCAATTAAGTAGCTAGGCAGCCCAATGATAGATGAGACATTATAGGCAAGTGCAAAGATAATGCCTTTGGGACAAGCAATTTAAGTCATTTGTGCACTTCCAGGCCAGGAAATCCTTCTAGTCTTGAGGGGGACATTTAGGAATCATCAGGCCCAGCCTGATGAAGTCATCCATTCATTGTGCAACTAATGATCAACAAACAAGCCGAATACGAGGGGATAGACCATATTGAATACATTTTAGTGGCTGTGATGTCTGTGCCTTCATTTCAATCACCTTTATAACAAATCTTATCACAGCCTTCTTTTCCTTCTGTCCACTGTCCTCCTGTGTTCTTATCTCTAAACACTATCTTTCAATGTATGGGTGAATTTTTTTAACTGAAGGCAAATATTTTCTTTCCCAATTTCTAGTTTTGTACTTCAAACATGACACTCTTGGCACACATAAATGTCTCCAAGGGACACTTTAGCATGTTTCAAAACACTTTTCTAAGCACTGAGAAGGCTGGGTCTATGTAACAGAATTTATACAGATGGTCCTGTACTTCTCAAATCCCTTATGTTTATGTTGTAAATCTAGAGTTGGAGGGTGGTGTATATTGTTATTTTTGAAGGAGGTAGGAAAGACTGGCAAAGGACCTATGCATTATACAAGTAAACCACACTTGTAACTACCTGTTTCTTTTAAACCAACTTCCCTTCCAGAAACTCCCAAGTAATGGTTATCAATGATGGTAATGTTGATAAATCCAATGAACTTTCTTCCATCTCCTGTATCTTTTCCCTCTCTGATTGCCCATTTTTTTCTTCCTTTTAGGGTCATCCTCCTCTTCCCAACCAATAAATGTTAGATTCTTCAGTCCCACTAGTCTTTCTCTGAATTTGCTAAAACATACTTTCATATTTCCAGCCTCATCTTGCTTCATGCTCAACCACATCTTGTTTATTTCTCAACCACTTTGTTCTACAAACCACAGCACCATTAAACTTGCTTTCTCTACCTGGCATGCTCTTTTGTGACTTTTTTTCTGCTTAATACTTGCTAATCCATCATATCTTAACTCTCTCATCATTTATTGACTCCTTTATATTTGGTCCAATTTCCCTAAGGTGAGCTCTCATAACACTTCATAAAAATATCCTTATCATGCTCCTCACAATTGCAGTTTTACAGGCATTCATGTGATTGTTTGATTATTGTATACCTTAGCTACTAGACTATAAACTTCTTTCTCTATAATACTGTCTTTCTTTTCTAATTTTTATTAGTATATGTGTTCAGTACATAATGTTTGCATCCCTTGTGTGAAATTGGTACACGTACATAGAGCATATTAATTCCTTTTCTCATCCCCTGTCCCTCCCATCCATCCCTCCTCCCTCCATCTCTTGATCCCCTTCCCATTGGAAAGAGATTTATGGCCCTGATTCCTATTATCTTTTTTTTAGTTTCTAATTTGAGTTTCTCATGTAAGAGGAAAAACATATTTAAGCTTGGGTGTCTGATTTATTTCACTTAACATTATGGTCTCGAGGTGCATCCATTTTCCTACAAATGATTCGTGTTTATCTTTCTTAATGAGAGAGTAGTACTCCATTGTGTGTAAATCCCACACTTTCTTTATCCATTCATCTATTGATGACATGTAGGCTGCTTCTTAGATTTAGCTATTATGAACTGTACTGCTATAAACATGGGTATGCATGTATCACTGTCATGTGATGTCTTTAACTCTTTTGGAAAGATACCTAGAAGGGGAATATCTAGGTCAAGTAGAATTTCTAGTTTTAGTTTTTTGAGGAATCTCTATACTGATTTCCATAGTAGTTGTACTAGTTTACATTCCCACCAACAGTGTACAAGGGTTCCTTTTCCCCACAGCCTTGCCAGCATTTGATTTTTTTTTTTTATTTCTTAGTGATGACCACTCTTTCTGGGATAAGATGGAGTCTCAGTGTTGTTTTAATTTGCATTTCTCTAATGGCCAAAGATGTCAAGCATTTTTTCATGTATTTATTAGCCATCTGTACTTCTTCTATGAAGTGTCTCTTCATTTCACTTACCCATTTTTTAGGTTGAATCTTTTATTTTGGAAGATCTATTTTTTTTTAGTCCTTTATATAACCTAGATATTAGTCTTCCGTGGAATAGCTGGTAAATTTTTTTCCCTTATATGTGTTGTCTTTTTACTCTGTTGGTGGGTTTTTTGTTGTTGTTGTTGTTGTTGTTTGTTTGTTTCTGTGAAGAAGCTATTTAATTTGATATGATCCCATTTGTTTATTCTTAGTACTATTTCCTATGCAACTGGGGTTCTGTTCTGAACAAAAGACTAACAATCCCAGGTCATGTACCATTATTGAACCAATAATCAGCAGGATGGAGAATTCCAATTGGCCAGGTCTGGGCCTCATGCTATCCTTGTAGCAAAGAGGAAAGGTAGGGCCAACCTTACCCAAATGTCATGTTTCTCTGGAGGGAAAATACTGAATGGAAGAAGCCCACTCCTCAACCCTTTGCCAAGGCACACACTGGGGCCATTTTTCTAAGAAGAAACTAGACGGCCACAGTTGACATGTTTACTGAAACTTTTGCCTTTTTTCTATCTGGAGATTATTGCTAATATACAAACTATTTCTAGAGCAGGATCTCTGTCCAGTTTGAATGAATACCTGATGAGTCACAGTATAGACAAGCAGTACTTCTGTAGCCCCACATTCTCAATAAGTAACATCCCTGCATCGAATGCAAAAATTGGATTGACTTCTAGGGGACTTAAATGTTCAACCTTACTTATTCTCACTGAAAAAAACATGCTCTATTGCTGACTGGGCCACTTTATTCAACTGCTCACTTTGAAACAAGCCTGGAGTAGGCAGGTGACATCAGAACTTTTTCTGCTCTTTAATTCCCTTTGTCGTCTCATGTATGTGACTCCTGCATTAGGAATCACACTTGGGGCAGAGAATATGTTTTTGAGCTGAAGCATATACCTTGATATGGACACACAGTACTTGGTTTGTCTTTCTGTTTGGGGCCATCACTGTATTTTTATGGCTAGAAAAAGCAGAGACCCCATTTACCCCTACTACCCCTCTACCATAAAACATGCTAGTCTCAGCTGGGATGATCTTTTTCCAGAGATGTTCTACTTCTTCCAATTCAGCTTGGGTAATGTCTTTTGATTAGAGACATGGATGAGGCTTGGTTTAAGGGATCAGCTCATTTTGTCTAAAAAGCATTTAACAAGTGTGATGTGTGTTTGCATGTATGTGTGCATGCATGTGTACTTCTTATCATACTCCCTTCTCCCAAATTAATGTTTAAAGCACTTACCACAGACTATACATAGTAGGTATCTCCTCTGTCTCCAAGTGGCCCAACAACCTATCTGACTTTACTTGCTCCTACCCCATCCCATCTTCCAGACATAGAATACCTGTTCACCAGGAGGCATATCCCTGCCCTATTTCAACCCCTTCCCAGCTAATATGGACACTTATAGACTTAGAAATGCTTGCCAGGTGAACCTGACTTTTGCTTCCCTCACCCCAATGGAACTGAATTTCATGCCTGTCTCATTTCAGGGTTGCAGAGACTACAACAGCTTGTAGCAAACACAAAATACTTCAGACAGACACTGAAGAAAATGGGATTCATTATCTATGGCAACGATGACTCTCCTGTTGTTCCCATGCTCCTTTACCAGCCTTGTAAAGTAGCGTAAGTATTCAGAGATTCTCAGAATCATGCCTAAACCCCAAGTGACCTAAGATGATGCTTTTGACACAGTATGGCTTTTCTGCACAGGCACTGGATTATGTACTTGAAGGTTTAGTTTCAAAATTCACTAGTATAGCTTCTTAGCAGTCACCTACCAATCATCAGCAGGACTTTTTCCACATATCTTAGAAAAAAAGGAACCAGGTTTTAAGGCCCACTTCTCTCCCTGACACCATTTTCAAGCTCAGGAAATTTGGCGAAATCACTTATGCCAACTATGAATTAAAGATTATCCTGAACCTCCTTCTGGCTGAACACCTTTCTCAAAAAGGACTTTTATAAACCGTCTCTCCCAAAATTACCATTAAAACAAGCAGAATTAGTATTTTCTCCCATGGACTCTTGTGGTTATCCTCAAAAGAGGCAGCCTCATTTTATGTGGGAAAGCTGAGGCTGAGGTCAATTGAACAACTTCCCCATAGTCCTGCAAATCAAACAATAGTAAAAAATCAAAGAGGCAAAGCCCCAAAACCTAGGCTCACTCCAAGCTCATTCTCAACACCAAATTTTAATGGCACTGGAGTAAGCCTATTTTGTCCTGTTTTTCATGAACTGCAACTCTGCAATTGAGCATTAGCAACAATTGTATAGAGAAAAAATGACTTTTTCTTGGTATAGCACAATTTTATAAAGGGACAACTCTCCAGTCTATGAGAGACTAATCACCTCTGTTATTAGAAAGAAGTTAACTCACCCTTTTCAAATGTAAAATGTTTATTGGTTTCTTTGACCAAGGACATTGTGGAAAGTAATATTCAAAATAATATTTCTCAAACTCTAGAGATCCTAACTCTCCTCCAATGTAATCCCATTCTCTTTGACCCTATAACAGTCTGAACCAACTGGTAATGTTTGCAATATAGAAAAAAGTTTCAGTAAAAGAGGTTTTAGGGTCTAGGGGTTGAGAATTCATGGAGAGTAAAATTGAGTTATAAGTTACTAAAAGACTGAGTCTTTGAAATATCCTCCTGTCCCATTCCACCACCACAAAATAAGAAGCTGTAAAACACATGCATGAGTTGCTTGGCATGCCAACACCACTACCAGCTGGCCCTAAAGATGCTCCCTGAGAGAGAATCCCAGGAGATAGAGTGCTACAGAAATGGCACATACAATACCACTCTACATCAATGGCAGAGGCAGTGATTTCAAGCAGCAGATAACATGAGGTCTTCTCCTGTCTGATTTTGGTAGGAACAAAAAGACACTCATATTTAGTCAAAGGGGCTGGGGAAGTGATATGTTTGGGAAGGAAGATTCCAAACTTAACTCATATCTACCTAATATTTTAACATTAACTCAAACAAGGCACCCAAAATAAATTCATACAGATATCTGGTGCACAATACTGAAGCGGAGGCAAGAAAGAGTGTGCTGGCCAGTTCTGACTTTGATGATGGAAGCCAGAATTAGAAACTCAATAAGTTGGAAAAATGAGACAACTCAATGAGAAGAGTTTATGATTAGTAAAAACAAATGTATTTTTTACTGTTTTTATTTTCAATTGATACATAAGAATATGACAATTGTACATATTAATGGCCTACCGTGTGATGTTTCACTATCTGCATGTGAAATATTTAAATCAGGCTAAACATATCTATCTCCATAAACAGTTACCATTTCCTTAAAATATTCAAAATTCTTCCAGCTTCTTGAGATGTACATAATATAATCATTATCTGTAGTCTCTGGACTGTGCCATAGCATGCCAGAATCCAAACGCATTTTAATTCAAGTATTCACTAACACAATATATGTCATATAAAAGTTATACTCAGTGGTGTAGTAAGAAGTTTGGAAACAAAAAGAACTTTGATTCAGCCTCTTCCTAGCTGAGGAATTTTGAGCAAGTGACCCAACCTTTGGAAGCCCCAGATTTTCATGCATAAAATGATATATAATAGAACCTATTTCCTAAGATCACTGCAAGGATAAGGTCTCTATAGTATTTGACGTGTTGCCTCTTACATAGGTACTACTCAAGGTTAGCTGTTGCTAGTAACATTAATAGTGTGTACAAAGCATTTAACATAGTACTTGGTATACTGATAGCCATTAGTAGTAGTACTACTATTACTCCACTATGACAATTATTATTATTAGTCTCATACTGAGTACAAATTTGAGTCACCATAGTTGTGTGGCTGTCCAAATAATTATTGAAATCTTTGGTTATATTAATAAAAACAGAACTCCCAGAATAGTAAAAGGTAAAGATCTTGCTACATTCTGAAGCAAATGCACAATGTTGGCACTAGGTGATATATTGAACTGTCTTGTTCTGCCCAATTTAAGATTGTTTTTCAAGAGTTGCTGTCTTAGTAACTTTTCTCATTGCTGAGACAAAATTAACACTCAACACCCAAAATTAAAGGAGGAAAGGTTATTTTGGCTCACAGTTTGTAGAGGGTTCAGTTTATAGTCAGCTGGCTCCAAGGCAGGATGGCACATCAGAGGGGCGTTGCAGGAGAAACACTTCTGAAGGCAGCAAAGCATCAAAGTAGCAAGCAACAAGCAATAGCAGCAGCCCTCTTTCTGTCCCTTATATTCTTTTTTTTTCATTAAGTTTATTGGTACATCTTAGGTATATAATACAGTTACATTCATCATTGGGAATTTGTACCTTTACATGATGTATCTTTGTTCTTATTTTTTCCCCATTCCCCTGCCCTCCCTTCAAACCTTTCACCCCTCCCTATTTACAGAGACTTTGTTTCCATTTTTTCATTTTCTCATAGTTTTTCCTTTCTCTTCTTTCCTTTCCCTTTCCCCTCATACCACCCCTACACCTTTAGGCCTTTTCCAATTTCAAATTATCAATTATTCATTTTAATCATTTTAATCATTATTTATACTATCAGTTTCTGACACTAGAGAAACTATTCAGTATTTACCCATGTGCGTTCTATTTGTTTCACTTAAGAGTATGACCTCAATATGCATCCATTTAGCAATAAATGTCTCTAGTTTCTCATTCTGTATGGCTGAGTAGTACTCCATTTTATAAAAAAAAAAAACACATCTTCTTTATCCAGTTTCCAGTTGATGGGGACTTGCACTGTTTCCAAGCTTTAGCTATTATAAACTGTGCCACTATAAACATGGGTGCACATATATCACTGTGGTATGATTCTTTTAATTCTTTGGGGAAGATACCCAGCAGGGGAATAGCTGGGTCAAATGGGACCTCCAGCCCTAGTTCTTTGAGGTATCTCCATACAGATTTCCACAGTGGTTGCACCAGTCTGCACTCCCACCAACAATGGAGAAGGGTTCCTTTCTCCCCATACTCCCGTCAGCATTTGTTATTGGTTGATTTCTTGATAGCAGCCATTCTTTGTGGGGTGAGGTGGAATCTCAGTGTTGTTTTCATCTGCATCTCTCGAATGTCTGTCCCTTACATTCTATCCAATCCCTGGGCACTCTACTCCCAGGGTGGGCCTCCCCATTATCCACACCCAGAACTATGCCAAACTAATCAATGGATTAATTTAGTAATCACATAGCATTTATCACAGCATCACACAGCCTAGATCCAGCCACCTCTGAAAAGCCCAACTTATGACTGCATGAGGCTCTAGGGGAACATCTAAACACAAGCCATAAGAGATGCTAACATTCATGAATTCTGATTGTGTGCTGAATAAGGCTGTTTGACCCCAGTGATCATCCACTGTGGGTGGATGCTAATCCCTACTTTATAAATGAGGATGCTAAGACTTACAAAAACCAAACTACTTGCTAAGCCTCACATATAATGTAGGAACAGAGCTGAGAATTCAAAGCCAATTCTCTTTACCTCCTATACCTGCACTCTTTTGAACACACAGCACAGCCTTTCAAGTTTCAGTCCATAGGGGGAGAAATGTGCATCTCATTAAAACAACACATTGAATTTAACTTTCTCGCATGTCATCTTCAGTGATTCAAAAAGCATCAGTCACTATGACAGAAAAATTTCTAACTGTTTGAGTTGCCTAAGGAAACAAGAAACAGGTTAGTTAGAAAAGGTAATAGCATCTATTTTTGGCAGAAGTTGCTAGCATGAGCCTGCTCCACAGCCTGGTTTGGTTTCCTTAAGCCAGTGTAAAAGTACTTCTTACACTCGCACACTTAAAAGTTTTTGTATTATTTAAAAGTTGTGTTTCTCTACATCCCCACCCGTGTAGAATGAAAAGATAATCTCTAGCCCAGTATCCTTGTCAACACAGTCCTGTTACAGCACTATCATTGGAATCATCAATGGAGCTCAGCCGAAGATGATTATACCCATAAAATGTGCACTTTAACTAATCAAGAATGGCCAGACATGGGGTCATGTGTCTGTAATCCCAGCTGTCAGAAGGCTGAGGCAGAAGGATCACTGAGAGTTCAAGGCCAGCATGGGCTACATAATGAGACCCTGTCTCAGAAAAAAAACCCAACCCCCCAAAAAATAATCAAGAATGTATTCTATTTAGTGTGTGGTACAGGGTTTATATTTTCCTTCAGTGATCCTTATAAACTTGGAAGACACAGGTACACAAGACACAGTAATGCTACATGCAGTTCTATATTAATGTTCATCATCATCGTCATCATCATCATCATCTCACTTTGCTTAATTTCTTCCAGCCTATGCCAGCTCTGATTTGCTTTGGGGAGTACAAACCTGGAGGCTCATTACATAAAATGTTCAGTGCAATCATATACATTAGCTTAAGGCTGCTAGCTACAATGTAGTACTATAAGTTTCAAAATCAAAAGTGTTCCAGAGAGGCCCAGATTAACCTAATGAATCAACAGAGTTATCTATTTTGCTCTACATTCTTTGGCAAAACTTGCTTCCTTTGATACAAAGGGACATGCAGACAGTGAAAACCATCTGCTGGGAGCCCTGAACACGCCTGAGATCATAGGTCGGGTGGTTTGTACTTCAGCAATAAAAGCACTTGACTTGTTTCTCAGACAATTATGAGCTCTCATCCTGTGCAGTGTCGTGGGCAGCCTTCCATACGGTGATCAAGAAGGAGAAAAAACAGCTTCTGTTTTCAAGTTTTCTCAGCTAGAAAGCTTCGTCGCCTTGTAGCCTTTCCAAATGAAATCAAAGGCCAAATCTTGCCTTGTCCAAACCAGGGGGCCAGGCAGGCTGTGTGACTGGTAGGTCTTGCTGCCTCCACAGCTTCACTTGATAACCTGAATTCTGCATGAGGCAATCTAAGGCAGACCACTACACAGCAAGGCGGGTGAATGGACAGGCAGGTTTACTTGCCATGTCTGGTTCAAGAATTCATCCTGAGTTAAGACTCCAAGGTTTTTGTGGCACTGTCAGCTTCCAGCCTAAAATAATATACCAGCAACCTCATAATGCTAAGAACAGATCTAAGGCATTTACTTCCCTTGTGGATACGGCCACTCTGTAATTAAGGTTTCCTGCAGAGAGCAACAGAGCCCAAAGTGGGGAAAGACTTTCTTGGGGGTTCGTGCCTTTTTATCTGACCTTGGCTTACAGCACAAGCAATTTACAGACTTGGAGCTAAATATTCTAGACTGTTTTCTGAAATTAGCTATGGAAAAGAAGAAAGCTAAATGGATAAAGTGAAGGAATCATAGCTTACAAAGGTTTTTCTCTGCATCAAAAAGCTTTGTAGTCATCTGACTTACAATCTATTGGCTGCATCTGCCCCTCGAGCTTGTCTTCGGATGCACAGTTCTCCTCTGCCTCCTCCTGACCAATTCCCCTTGAACCCAGTCAGTGGGCTCATTATCCTCATGTATACCTTGGTATGTTCATTCAAACATTTAAAAAATGAAGAGATCCTTGCTATTTCTTATATTTGATGTAAAATATAAACTTTGGTCCTAAAGTGGGAATATTAGCTTGGGTTTGAGTCCTATAGACTAAGTGTAACTGTGACTAAGAATAACTTTTTGAAATGTCCACAGTATATTATTGGTATGAAGTTTTTAAAACATAACAGATTTCCACTTAATACATATAGATGCTTTGTTATGTAACTGTATTTTATTATCTGTTTATTATTCCTAGGGACTCTGCAGATGAAAAATTTTGTATCTGTGCAAATTTGTTAAAACAAAGTCACTTACACCAGCATTTTCTGCTCAATCTCAAAGACGCAGTACTCACAATCATCTAGTGATCATCTCGAGCCCATAATACTACACATTCAATTATGGGGGACATTTCTTTGTCAACTCTATTTGACAGAGTTTAATAATTTTAATCATCCTCTACTTATCATAAAAAAGAAAGAAAATCAATTATGCCTCTTCTGTTTGGAGAGCAAGATAATTCTGTCTTCCATTAAAACTTTTTTCCTTTTCCTCAGGGCTTTTGCAAGGCATATGTTAGAGAGAAAAATTGGGGTGGTGGTCGTTGGATTTCCAGCCACTCCACTTGCAGAAGCTCGGGCTCGGTTCTGTTTATCAGCAGTACATACTCGGCAGATGTTAGACACAGTGAGTATCCCACAGGCCAATAGAATCTCTCATATTGACATCTTGTATTCTGAGCAAGTGCTTTCATAGGGCCAGCTTGGGGTTCTCTGGATTTCTCAAGTGGTTAAGGAACACAACAGTAATGACAATTAAACTCACTGCTAAAACGTAGGGTATGTCAGCAATACCCAACAATGTAATCCACTCAGTGGACAGAGGAAAAAATCAGTTTAGTGGAGACTGAGTCTGGTCAGGATTTTGGTTTCATAGAAGACTGACCGAGTAGCCAAATGTTGTGCTATTTACTTGTTCGGAAATTCAGAAGTTGATTATACATGTTATTTTAGCTTCAACTGCTTGTGTCCTGATATTTTTCATAGCCATGAAATCTTGCATAATAAAATATAACCCAACAAAGCATACTATAGAAAATCAACAAGAGCAGACCTGTAACATATCAGCCTAACTGATAGTTACTGTAATTCAGGGAATTGAGGGATCCTTAAGCCAAAGACAGAGGACATAATTGTTCAGAAACAACTGAGAATGAGTAGGTCATGGACAGACTCCTGTGGAGATTCAGAGTTCAGGAATCACAGGTGGGAGATACATAGATTTAGGTGGAGCTAGAGCCATAAGAAAGGATGTAGATTCGTGTAGTGTTATGCACTATAAAGAGAGAGTTTCAAGGAGGAGGAACAAAATGTCCCAAAAAATTAAATAGTAGGGAAGAGATAAGAAGAAATATTGGGTTGACAATTAGTTAGAGCTCAATGAGTTTTAGAGTGGGTAGTTTCAGGTTAATGTAGGGAACAGAAATAAGAATACAAAGAATAAAAGGACAAAGCATATCTTAAGCTAAAGTTAGAGGGGGGGAGAAAAGAGACTCCATCTCTTCTTTAGCTATATTTCTTCAGGACCAGCTGATAGTAGTGTATGATAGGTACCAATAAAAATATATTGAGTGACACATTAACAACTGGGCTACCTGGAGGTCTTGAGATGAGAGTGAACTTTGCTGTTGTTCTTTATATTTCCTGTATTTTCCAAGTTCTCTGAGTCTATGTTTCTAGTACATTAATGTTCATAAATTGCTTCTTTTAAATAAAGTAGATTAGTGATAAGTAGGCAAGTCTTCCAAGAAGTTTGTCTGTAAAATCAAGAAAATTAGGCTTAGAAAAGCCTTTTAAAATGGGGAAAGACTTGCCCATGATTACACATCAAAAGAAGAGAGTGAAGAGGGGTCCCTACAGGCATGGAAGAGAAAAGGACATGGGCAGGGAGCAAGCTCCCAGAGCTGACAAGAGTGGATGGACAGCAAAGAACATGTAGTTTTTTTGGTTTACAGACTGAAGTACTCAAGTATACTCAACTCTGGATATCAGACCTTGTGATTTTCCTCACAAGTTCTTAATTGCTGTGGAATACATAGTATGAAAGACCACTGAGACTTCATCTAGGCAGATGTCTCTTAACTTCTGAGATTGTGCATCCATCTTGATTTTTAAAAATTGAGCAGTTTCTTAATTGAGAAAGTGAAACTTAAGGCTGTTGAACATCCATTCACTAAGGTAGCAACTGAACATAAGTGCTCACAGGATATAAACAATACCAGACAAGTGCAGTGGGAGAATTTTTCTAACAGACAAAGGCCAGTTACCGTCTCCCTTTCCTGACTGAAGACTGTTCCTCCACCAAGGACAGCTCTAGCTTCTCCTTCATCCTTTCACCTCCAGATAAAAGTTTTAAACGCATAGCAGCCAGTGAACCATTGTCACCTTAGGACAGCATCCAACCCAGAACTGCTCTCTGCTTCCTTAAAATCTCCAGCCCAAGCAAATGCAGTAAAAATTCCCTCCCAAGTTCCTGTCACTAAGATGCCCGTGGCTCTAGAGTATGCTCTCTCATGCTGCAACAAACTGAAGAAGCCTAACTTTGAGTACAGGTGTTTTCTGGGTGGTCTTGCACCGGGGGACTTTACATAAACTATTTATAAATGGTATGTCCATTATGTATGTACATTGTATAACAGACATAAAAATAAAAGTTAAGGTGACAATGAATAAATTGGGCATGGTGGTGCATGGCTCTAATCCCAGTACTCTGGGAGGCTGAGGCAGGAAGATGGCAAGTTCAAATCCAACCTTGTCAACTTGGTGACTTGGCAAGATCCTGTCTCTAAATTTAAAAATGAAAAGGGCTGGAGGTGTAGGTCAGTGAAAAGGCCCTTGGTTCAATCCTCAGTACTGAGAAAAAATAAATAGAAATTCTAATGTTTTCCCCGAGGACTTCACATGTGTCTCCCAAGTGCACGAGTTCTCCTTTTTGGAAACCACTGAGAGAGTCCATCCCTCACCTTCAGCAAAGATCAATAGAAACTACTCCAGGTAGATAGCATTTAAAACATAACTTTTGCTACTCTTTCTTAGTACACAAATTTGATGTCAGAAATTTTTTTAAAAACAACGAAGAATATTTTCAATGCCCATAGTCCTACCATCAAGAAACAAATTATTCTTGGCATACTGGTGGGTATTTTAATTGCTATCACTTTGAAAGACCTTCTAGCGAAGAAAGTCTATAAGCCTCATTAACCATTCATTTGAATTTTACCCTACCTTCTTCAGAGCATTGGTCCCTAATACTGTCCTCCTTATTTGACCAATTAAGAAAAAATAGGCTCAAAGATTAAAATGATGTACCAAAAAGCATAGGATTAGTGTCAATACCAGTGGATATTCTAGAAGTAAAAATAACATTTTTTAAACTTTCTGAATCTCGTTTCATTTGCAAAACTGAGGATACATTTGCCACTACAGTAAGAGAATTGAAACAGGTACAGTCTTGGTTCCTTGTGAGTTTAAGTTCTGTTATTACATAGAATGCAGGGATGTTTATTTTAAAATGGGGGGAGAGTGGGACAGTTGAGAATGATGTTAATTAGCTCCACGATGTTCCATTTTGTTCTTGGCTAGGCTGGTTGGCTAGGAAGACATGGTTCTTTATGGTTATGAAGACATAATCTCAAATATATTCTGCAACCTTATCTGTTTCTTCCACAAGGTTATATGTAGGGTTATATGTAAGTCTCTAAATTTTTAAATAAATTCTTACAGGGTTTAGATAGGTCCGATGTTTTTATTCCTCTTCTCACATTCTCAAAATGAAATAAACATTCATAATGTGGAGTCAGATCATTAAATAAAATGAATTAGCATCTAAAATTCCTCTAGGACCTAATGATATGGATCTTGCTCCTTTTCTTTAAAATCAAAGATGCTGGCAAAATAGGACTGTGAGTCTTTGTGAAACTTGCCATTAATTGGGCTTTGCAAACCAGAGCAACTTTTTAAAGATAACTGATGGAAGGCAATCTCCTTGCAGGTTTTGGAAGCCATTAATGAATTGGGTGATCTCCTGGCTTTGAAATATTCCCGGCAAAGGAAGTCATAATGCCCTGTACTCTGATGGAACCAGCTTTGAACTTGACGAATAAGCTTCCTGGTCCTGAATGAAACATGAAGACTTTGCCAGAGAGATCTCCCTCTTCACCTCAGAAAGCATATAGATGGAATTCTCCCCCTTTCTAGGGACAATTTGTTTTGAGGCCAGCTTAATTGAACTGATGGAGACATTGTGTTTTTTATGTCTCCAACTTGCAACTTCAGAAACAAAATTACAGTTATTAAGTTTCTCCCCTCCCAAGAAGATGCCAGAAATGCATGGACCCAGGCACCAGGCACATGCAGGCACACACACACATACACACACACACACACACACACTTCTTAGAATGTTTTTGATGGCAGTGAGCCTGTTTTAGCTGCTACTATGTAGCCTCACTGATCCAGACCCTTGCAGGGGTTCTAGCGAAATATGAGGATTTTGATTGTTACAATAATGGCACTGTGAGTGTACTTATTTGATCAGCAGACATGGATAAGAATGGTGGAGAGTAGCTGACTTTCCTGTTCCACTTATAAAAGTACCAGCTACAGTTCATCTGCATCACAAGAAGTTCCAGGCAGGAGGGTAAAGAAATGCTGCTTCTACCGTTTGTCACATTTGAACTTTTTCCAAGGACAAGTGTCAAAAGACACAGTTAATGTTTCCAGGGAGAAAGCAGAACTGGCCAGCAGTGGGTAGAGAAGGAAACTTTCCTTTTCCTCTTGCTGTTCTCCTACAGTTTTACAGCTGACCCTTTGAAGTTGGAAAATCCAAGACTCTTGTTTCATAAAGCAGGAGGCAGAAAGCAAGCATAAGCCAATTCCAGGCCTAGATTAAAACTGTAAAATTATAACTTGAACGTTGTTGGTGCCATGCAGAGTGAATGTTTAGTATGCATGGCTTTAGTGACTTTAAGGAATGAGTTGCCATTTGCCTACTGAATTTTGAGTAAATGATGAGGCTCAATTTCCTTTAGAACCAACTCCCAAGGGTACACTTGAAGACTGTTTTGATTCAAGAAGGACATTTATAAACAATTCTGTCTCTTTCAAGGCTGGCATGCCCATTCAGACACATTACTATCACTTTGGCAAAAATTCTAAGATGTCTGCAAAACAGGCTAGCATACTTTTGGGCAACTAATTGTAATTTATCTGCTCTCTCTCTCTTCCTCTTCCTCTCTCTCTCCCTCTCTCTCTCTCCCTCTCCCTCCCTCTCTTTCTCTCCCTCTCCCTCTCCCTCCCTTCCTCTCCCTCTACCTCCCTCTCTCCCTCTCCCTCTCTCCTTCTCTCTCTCCCTCTCTCTCTCCCCCACTCACACACGCACCATGAATACAAACCTCTGAAAAATTAGTCCTTTGCTAATTGGATCTAGTTGGTATGGAAAAAGCCAGTGGAAACCCTTATCTTTAACAAGCTCCCAGATGGTGCCCAGATTTGGAAACTCTAAAGAGCAGTGGTGACCTTTTAGCCAAGCTTCTGTAACAGTTCGAATGAGTTACAGAACATTCCACTCCATCAAATGACACTGTAAACAAATCACTTCAAGAGAGGTTTGGCTTTGTGTGACACAGATGGGCCCAAGCTTTCATGCTGTGCACTGAGATAGAAATTCAACCCGCGGGCCAGTGTCGATGGAGCAACACGCCCTGGTGCTCAGAGCTCGTCCAAGGAAAAAGGTGATCAGCATGGAAAGCTTTTCATAAATCACAACCCTTTGTGAGTACAATAAGTTTAGAGGTGAATTCCAGTGATAAAGTTCCTTATGTACAATTAAGAACTAAAGAAATACAGTTAGAACAGGAGGAAAAGAAATGAGTTGCCCCCTGCAATGTCTGACTTTGATAGCAAGGTACCAACTCTCCTCAACTAGTGCAGCCTTACTGGTGCAAAGAAAGCAAATGCCATATAAATGTCCTGAGAAACAAAAGCATATAGTTCTTTTCTCTTTAATATAAGTACTTAAATGAAATTGTTACTGGCTGATTATTGAAAATCCATTAATATCTCCTGCAGGAGAAACAGAAGGTAAAGAGGGCGGCAAGATATGTGAGCCTTCCCCAAGATACAGAAAGCAACAAACACTTCTCATCTTTTCTGGATTTGTCTGTGATCTTCACACACACACACACACGCACGCACGCACGCACACACACACTCTTTGAGTTTTAAGCCACTAGATGGACAAGTGTCTTCCTGAGCAGGAATGTCTACCCTTCTACTTTCATGCAGGAACTTGAATCTAATTCATCATGGGGAGCAAATTACTTACCCAGCTGGCATGTGGAGCATGGAGGAGGTTAGTCCTTTTCCATCAAGATCCAAGATCCTTGTGGAAATATTTTCTATTTCTGTGTACAAGAGATCTATTTCTGTCAGAGAGTCTGCAGTGGAGATACCCCATGTATGAGAACAGCTGTGATCCAAGTGGAATGCCTCCCAAATACGTTAAGACAAATCCTGGTTCCATAGAGCTCTCACCAGAAGAGTATATGTCATATAGAATGAGCTTGGTTAAGAGGGTAATTATGAAGAATAAGAATTTTTTATTCTACTGCTAGGTTTATAAGACCATAATTTCAATTCAGTAGGGACACAGTCTTAATATCAGAGCTTAGTCTGGTGATAAAGGGAATTTTTCTACCAGAAATATAACGTTACATATCCCATCCTGCCTATTCACACACAAACACACACACACATACACTATTTTTTACAGAAGAGGTGTGTAAAGATTGGAGATAAGAATCTGATTGGGTGAGAGAGAGAGATGGAAGATGTTCTAGAAAGCAACATTCGGGGAAGAAAAAGATAAAGGTTCTGATTGGTATTTGTAGGAATGATACATCTGCATAAGAAGAAAATGGCATACACTCATGACTAATCTTCATTAGGAATGAAGGTGACATGGATATTTAGCTGTATTACTCTTTATTATGTTTGGTTTGACTGAGACTACCAGCTTCAGAATTTACTAGGAACCTTGTTAACATGCAGATCTCTGGGCCTCATACCACACCTCCATTCAATCAAACCATAGTGGTGCCCAGCAAAATACAATTTAACAAGCTTTCTAATGCATACCAGAATTCGAGAATCATTATTGGAGCTCTTAGTAGACCCATTGGCTCTAATAACATAGCAGGAACTTTCTTTTGATTTTCTGCTGACATTTTAGGATGCTAATACTGGTAAAGTGAAGTGAATTTATTCTATGGGCACCCTTCTCTCTTCAATGGGATATTTCTTTCCCATTTTCTTCAACTCCTCTCTCTCTCTGCAAGAATGGGTCAACCCAATATTGAAGAATAATCTGCCATACATTTGATCAAAATTCCTTCTCCAGTTCTCTCCTGCATCATTCCTTAAGAGATGCCTCTTTTGCTTTTTATCACCTTATGCCTTTCAATATGATGTCTTTTTTCTCCTTTTTCTTCCTATTTCCAGAAAAAAACTTCAATCTCTCATTATTTATTCCAACAATAACGCCTCAGGAGGGTGAAATCCTTAACAGTTCTGCAAACATGCAATGTTTCCATGTATTTTTCTTCAGAAAATGGAAATATATATAAATGGCTTACTCTGGTTAAAAAAATCAAAGTTCTGATGATGAAACCTAGGCTCAAATATAAACTGTGACTTATAACAATAATAATTTAATAAAAGCAATGAGAACATGATCTCATTAATTCTTTGCATTTTTTCCTTGTTTGAAACAGTAAGAATAACATATTTGAAGTCTATTCTCTCAGAATGCTCTACCCAGATGTATAGTGTCTAAGAAACTAAGAGATTGTACTGTACCTTAATGTTTCTTGCCAATTATTGTGGAACATAATCTTATATTTTTATGTACAGTGTGTGGTACGTGGGTATGTATAGGTGATGTATATGTTTCACTGAAACATTTGAGATGCCAATTTCACTTTATTTTGCTTGTAGAATGTTCATTTCTTTAAGAAACAAATCACCAAAACTGACAGTATAAAAAATAATCCAGGATCTTGTGTTGATTTAGGTTAGATTACCCTGAAAAAAAAGAAGACTGAAGTAAAGATCTGCATTTAGGAATTTCACCAGAGAAAATTGGTAGGATTGGCTGAGACTGGCTTACACTTTCATGAGAACCAATTATGCACATCTCTTTCCACCTCATTCAGTGATATGACATTGGTGCCTTGAAATTAGCCACAGTGGGAGTATTTACATCATAGAAATTGGCAACCTCTACAAATCAGGGATCAAGAGATGTAGCTGTTAAAAATTTACCAGCATACCACTGAGGCCACACACAGTGGTACAATATCTAGGTTACAGAAAGGGAACAGGAGCAGGCTTCATCAGATCCATGGGGAACTGTGCAACCATGTTGGTCCTTTAGATTATCTCACATTGAGGAAAGGAAGCCAGATCATCACCATCCAGACATTGGATGCAAGCTCCGAGGTAGAGGTGCAGGCTGGGTCATCACCTCAAGCAAGACAGCTCTGTTCAACTGAAGACAATTCTTGATGAGAGACTCAGCTGTGATCAGTTACTTAAGAATTTATTTCTAAAACATCCACTTAAAATTTTATAGTGGGAAATTGTAAATATACAGTAAAACAGATGATAACACAATGAATTCACATGCACTTGCCACCCGGCTTCAAACATGATCAATTCATGGCCAGGCTTTTCATTGATTGCCTCATCCACCTCACTCCCTCTCCCACCAGACTACTTTAAAGTGAGCCCCGGAAATAATCTCATTTTATGAGTACATATTTCACCCAATTCTAAGAGTAGGATGTCTTAATTTGTTCCTCCTCTCAACGTCATTAAAATATGTCTTCAGAAAGGCATCAAAATGAATCAAAGGTAAACCTTTACTTTCTCTATGTTACAGCCTGTATGTGAATTCCCTGGATCAAAACTAAGGTTTATTTCTAAAGTAAGTATGTGGCGTGTTGAAATTTAAGAACGCAATCAGTTTTAGACACCAACCACGTGCCAGACACCACACTAAAAACTCCAACATACACTATCTTCTTGGTACTGTCGTAGAGACTAATAATGGATTTCTTGGAAGGCAAGAGTATTCAAGTTGTAAAGGGATTAGCAGAGTATAAAGAGGACTTCTAACACTCTGATGGTACATTGTTCTTTACTGGAATGCTTATCCCCTTCCTTATCAAATCAAAACCTTTCTTAAAAAGTTATTTCAGCTAAACTTTATATAGCAGCAGGACTAATTTAATGAAGAACAAGAGAACAAGTCAAACCAGTTTCCATGTTTGGAAAAGGTTGCTGCCTATACCAGTCAGGGTTTAAAGTAGGACTTGTTATTCTAATTCTTCTTGGATCCCTTCATCCAAAGAAGAGGCTGAAATTTGACATTTGCATGTCAACTGCTCTGAGAACTTTTCATACACATGAATCAATAAAATGTCTAACAACAGAAGGTTAGAATAGAAGCAAGAAGCAAAAGAGGGTTTTTTTTTTCTGCAGCATGAAACAGTGCTCCCTTTTATTCAGGCCAGATGCTAATTTTTATATCAAAAATATTGATTGAAAGGACTAGTGATTTTGGCTCTCACTCAAGTTTATTCAGGATCTTTCTTAATTAGGTTTGGGTAGGCTGCAGTGCCCATGGCCAAGGGTAGGTCTGGCTCTAATCACCACATCATGCTCTCTACTTCATCACGGGCCAAGGACTAAGGCAAGGAAATTGCAGCTTCTTTGTTTCTCCAGCCCATAAGTTTGTTTTTTTCCAGATTTGAAGCATGCATGGAGCAAATGTGTAAGGAAGACCAAAAGAAATGTAATGGCTTCACTGTGATGAGATCAATCTACCCTACAACTTGACTGTGATCCCCAGCATGAATAAAGCTCTGTGTGTGAAAAATGAATGGGTAGCAATGTGAGGTCACAGAAAAAGATCTTGGCATCTTTTAAATGAAAATTTTTCAACAGGCTGATGCAGTCAATCAGTCTAGGAGATTTTTTTAAATGGTAAAATAATCTCTTTTGCAACAATACATGATTTCCCCATAGCTTGTCTATTTTGTAAATAATTATGGTTGTCGTGCAACTACTTTTATAGTGTCCACACCAATTTTATATAATTTATACAAGTCCTTTAAAGATTTCACACACACAAAATTTCAAAAAATCATAGTCACAGATTAGACACCTATAGCAAAAATAATTTTCCATTATGTATTAAATAGTAGATTGTTAAAAATGTATATATGGTTCAGGTCCCCTAAAACATTTCCAACAAATAGCTATGAAGAGTTTTTAAACTCTAAAAAATTTCTCAATTAAAACATCAAAGTATAATTTGTAAGAGATTTTATTAACAAGACAACTCTAAGTGGAGCTAATTAAAAGTTAAAGATTTCCTATATAGATGACTCTAAAACTGCTATATAATCAATGTTGTAACAGATTATATAGAAAAATTAAAATGTTTTATTAAAGTGGGACCATATTTAAGATGAAAACTCATTTGAAAATTACATTGATTTTTATTATATATTTATTATTTATAAAACCAAGTAGAAAAAATTGACATTCCCATTACTCATCATAGCCCTTCAATGTGAACAAGGATAGAAAACCATGGATTGTCAGATATTTAAGGAAAGGAGAAACACCAAAATTTAAAAAAAGAAAATTTTCACTAGAAGAAACATAATTTATGGAAAAGAGAACTTCTGAAATGTTCTAGTTATGAATCCTGCTGTAGGTCAATATGGTTGTATTATGTGAAGGTAGATCCACAAAACAAGAACGGGCTGATAGAAAAACACATCCAGAGTTCACAAAAAACTTAAAATTAAAATGTTTGTTGAAAATAAATTACTAGAAAACAAATGGAAGCATTTTTCAATCTCAAATATAAAGCAAAGGATAGAAAATTAAAAACATGAGAGAAAATTTAAAAGACATAGATGGTCCATCCAGAAAGACAAATATATCCATCTAATAAAAAGTCGACAAAGAATGGGAAATTTTTAAGATAGAAGAAAAATCAAGGAAATAATCAAATATCCTTGGGGGCTGAAAGAAAACAAAAGATGAAGATGGGCTGGTAAGGGTTAAGATGATGAATTTAAAAAGATTTTCACCTAAACACGTCCTAAGCAAATTTTGCCACCCCAAGGATGAAGAAAAGAACCTAAAAGTTTCCTACTCAGCAAAAAACAATCTTACTTTAAAAGGTAAAAGCAACTAATTTAAAGTGTAGAATATTATAAATAACATATTCCCCAGAAAATTCAAAGCAATTTCTTCACCCATTAACATTGAAAAAATGTTTATTTCCTCAGTCTCCACCACTGCTAAATACAATCATTTTTATAATCTTTAGTAATCCTACAGAGAAAAACAGATTCTTTTTAATGTCAGATGCCCATTGACTAGCAACAAAATGTTTCATAGGTACATTGGCTGCTTGGCTGTGTTTTTCACATCTCTGATTTGTAACTGCTGGTTCCTTTTCTATTTTAAAGGCCTCATTAGCAATGATGCTGGATGCTACAAAACAATGAGGCAATGCCTGGGAATCCAAAGGGAAAACAGTTTTCAGTCTAAAATTCCATACCTAGAAAACTATTAATTAAGGAGAGCAAGATAAGAATTTTTTTACAGAAATTTAATATCCTCAATACCGTTTCTTCAAATAATTTCTCGACAAATAATCTAATGAATGTTTCCCCTAAAAGTGAAAGATATAGTATCAGGAAAGTGTGAAATTCATCTAGGAATACAATGAAAAGAAGTCGCAGAAGGATCATTTATAATTAAAACAGATTAAACTGTTGTGACAAAAGATGATGGGTTATTTTTTGCTCCAAATGGAAGTCTAAATAAGTACCTCTGATTGGCAAGCACCCCCCTCCATGGTGTTTCAAGGATTCATGTCTCAACTGTTTCCCAAACACCCCTAGAACTTTGTTGTTGCCTGTGTTGTTGAGGGTCCAGGATTCAGCCTGTGGAAAAGGAAAGTGAGCACACAAGACCAGCCATCCTCTCATCCTTCTCTGATGATTGACTTAGCTCTGAGTTTTGGGACACATTTGATAAGCTGATCAGCCCTGACTCCATGATCTAATGTAGTATCCAGAGATGTACAAGGAGAGTCACTGCAGACAACACTCTGATTCCTTAGCTCCTAGAGATCCAGTCCTCCTCTCCCAACACTGCTCCAATATCTGCTTCATTCACTTAGGTGTGGTGCCCGTCTGCTGTCGTAGCCACGAGAACCAGGGGCATACTAAGTCTGGCCCATATGCTCCTCAGGATATGAAAAGAGAAGTGATAGGCTTCTCACCTCTGTGATCTTCACTCTGCCTCTCAAATTGTCACACCTCCTGTCAGGACCCTCCTGGGTTTCATTAGTGAAGGGGAAAACAAGCCAACTGGGGATTGGTGCAGATTTGCTTGAGACTGGCTCTTTTAAAATTTCACTTTCACAGGGTAATAGCCTGGAGTCAGTGCTTCAGCAAAATGCTAGAAAAGAGAAAATACGGTCTACTTTATGGCTTGTTTACCCATCTGCATCTTCCCTTGTGCACGTTCCTGGAATCCCTCCTTGCCTGGGTTATGACCTTTCAGCATTTTGCAGCTTGTTCAAAGCTACTCTGTAGTGACAGTTTAAGGACTATGAGAGGTAGCCACTAAAAATAACAGCATGCACAGCAATTCATTCTACCTCTATCCCCATGAAGTGCCTACCTCCATGTTCATCATCCAGCCTTATGTGAATGATGTGAAAATAGAGTTTATATATAGTAGGTCCTCACCTTGTAGAAGTAAGAATGTGGGGGCATGCTTTTAGAAAATTCTTGTTCATCATGATCCCATGGGCATGTTCAGGTCTTTTAGATTTATACTTCCAAAGTTTATGATGAAACAGATGTCCTGTTAAAGGGAAAAAACTTGAGAGGGAAGCAAATTGAACATGCATTTAGTTAACAAAGGAGCTGATATACTTTTTAAAAGATGTCTTCTGGTCATTATCAAGCTTTTGCATTATACTCATAAGGCATTCGAAAGAGGACAAATTTCTCTCAATATCATATTTAGTATATTACTTATCAGATGTTAATGTATGAGGTACATTAAAAGTGTACATGTGGCTTAAATTTGTAATTCTACCTCTGAAAATTTACCAAAAGTAAATAAAGAACTTCAGTTTCTAGCAAAATTACAATTTAAATAACCGGAAACCCTCTCCTTACAAAGCATAAATACTAAATAAATGGAAGAGTCTTTTAAATAAGGATCTGGGCTTGCATGAAACATAGGCATGTCTTCAGGATGAAAAGTTATGAAGAACCTAAAATCTTCAGCTGCAGTAGCTGAACTGAAACTGGAGGCTTCTGGGAGTTTTCTGGCCTCATTAATTAGATATTTCAATGTCCACGTAGGTAACAAAGATGAGGACTTAAACTAGTGAGAGGTTATACTAGAATAAGATGATCATCAAGTTTTTCTGTCTATGGTCTAGATAGAGGGAGAAAAAAATGATGTACTCTGAGAAGTCATGACCTGGCCTCATGGGTCTGTCATGTATTTACAATCCAGAATTTTTATGTCAGTAATTTATCATATCGTATGTTCTTTTCTGGTAGTACCCATTGTGTGCCTGGGAGAAGCATCAAAAAATCCCTCCAAATGGGCCACAATCTTATCCTGGGATCCCCAGGGAGTTCCCACAGAAAATGAACTCATTGTCTGAAGTTACAAATCTCATAAAGAAATAATCCACTATAAGCAAAAGCAGTAGAAACATATCAAAACAATCACAATAGACATTACAAAAACATCACGTTTAATTAACTAAAGGTATAAAGAATGAGTAGAAAATACATGAACAGATGGGAATAGATTTGGAAAATAAACTTTTAGTTCAAAGCCAGCCTGAACTATAAAGTAAGATCCTGTCTCAAAAAAGGAGAAATGTTAAAATATAATTGAAAACAAAATCTCAGTGGATGAGTGAAATGACAGCTTTAACACAATGTAAAAGAAAAAATATTGAACTGTAAGAAAGAAAATCATTCAGAAGAAATCCCAGAGACATAAAGAGATAGAAAATATGAAAGGAAGTTTAAGAATCAATTAAAGATATCACAAATATTTAGCAACAATGATCAGAGTATTATTTGTAAAATAAATGTTGGAAACGGCATAATGTCTACAAATAGTTTTAATTTTAATATATTCTTTTCTGAGCATTTAATAAAAGAGACATGATGTCCTCAGGCTAATTTTATTTTCTGTATTCTAGTGTCTGATTAGGACCCACACTGCCGTTATCCTCCCAGCCCACCCTAGAGGTATAAAAGAAAAAATGAAGAGAAAATAATTACAATGGTAGGTACATCCAGTATATCAATAATCACTTTTGATCTAAATGGTTTAAAGGTACAGTTAAAAGACAGAGATCATTAAAGTAGATAAAAAAATTAAAAAGGTAGTAAGTGTAATAGCCCAGATATGGTCCAAAGATGGTCCGAATCTATAATAGAAGCTCCTTCTACTTTACCAGAGCAACTGGCATTTCTTTTATTTTAAAAAAAAAAGGGCGCTGTCACTGATTTTTTTGATATTCAAGTATCTCCTAAGTCAAACTACAACTATAAAAACATTTTTTTAAACACAAAGTAAAAATCTGAAATAACCCTCACTAGTCAGAGTTCTTAAGGTGATTGCTTGTACTATTTTGGAGTGCATTAGGCTGAAAGTTCAAAAATACTCAATAAACACTGCTTCAACAAATAGGGGTTTCTATTTCTTACCTAAAACCACTTCTGATAGATTCAGCTGCTCTATGGTGAATAGACTAGCCAGACTAGCTCTGTCTTTTCACTCCAGGTTCCTTGGCATGTGTCCTCCTGTCTGTTGCTTCTTTACCACAAGGAGAGCATGATAGTTCTAAATTTTACATCATCGTGCCAAGCATCAAAAAGGAAGAAAGGAGCTTGCAAATAGTATGTTCCTCATTTTATCAGGAAAGCAAATCCTTTCCCTGAAATTCCCTCAGAAGATATCTGTTTCTATGTTACTGACCAAAACTATATCATATATTGGCAAAGTAGGCTGGGAAGATGTGTATTTTGCTTTTTCAATTTATATAATTGAGGTAGGTGAGAAGGGAAAAAAAGGCACATCAATCTCCTCATAGTGGCTACCATGGTACAGTATATACAAATGTAAACAGAAAATTCAGTGGTTTACCTATTATCAGTTTTGCTTTTTCTTCTTATGATGTCCCCTCAAAAAATAATTTAACTGCAAGCTCTCTATGTTAGTCAACATTCACTTAACTTCACCTAACATTTTTGCCCTTCCGTCCCTAGCACAGAGTTGGTCTCTTAATTCTATCCTGGACTACATTTATGTTTCCATAGATTATGAAATACACCTCAAGTGAAAAAAAATATAATTTAGATGAATGTGTTATTTAAATGATATATAAAATCCCTCTAGGTTTTACATATAAGACATTTAAATCATTTGACTCCAGGATGACTTAAGGCATTTGGTGAAGAGCTGCGGTGGTGAACCTACAGCACCTATGCCGCAGTGGGCTATTTGTTATCATTGAAAGCTCTAAAAGGTTCGCCATGACTTGTACAAAGTATCAAGCCAGGAGCCAGAAGATTCTCAGTTGAAAATGGTTAATAATCCAACCCCGGATGGATTTCTTGAACAATAAAAGGAGTTTCTCAGCTTCAATGGAAGTCGATCCAATGAATCAACAATGTCACCAAGAATCTGTTTTGTGCAGGTTTTTTTCTTTTTCCATTTGTTTTTTATGCCATCTTTAGTATCAACTTCACCATAAGGCTGGATTACCTCATGGTCACATGATGGCTGCGAGCAACACAGAGCTGAATATTTTCTCATAGGCATGTAATATTTTCAAAAAGAAATAAATATCTTGCTCATATCTCAGCCATTTAGTTTGATGCAGTTCTTCACTCTGTTCTCACAGGGTCCATATTGGTCATGTGCCTGTCCTGAAACCAATCACTGTGGCACTAAGAACACAGTGATATGAGTGACAACCAACCAAGGCCTACCTGAAGATGGGTGTGGGGTCAATCTCATGCAAAGAGCAAGGTGCACAGCTACATAGCAGGAGAATGGGGATGGGCTGAGATGTTGGGAAGACAACCATTTCCACCAGCCAGAATTTTGCATTGCTTCTTTACAATCTGTGACCATAAGTCAGATTCCTCCTTTAAAACATAGCACTAGAAAGACCTGCTCAATCCACACCTCAGTGACCTTATAGGGGTTAAATAAGGCAACTTTGAGGAACTTTGCACACTGTGAAGTATGCAGCCATGAAGTGAGCTTCTGGATGAGCTTCCATTGCACAATTAAGCAGCTACAGGCAGCGACCTGTCCAGCTTCTCTTGGTCCTCCTCTTTGCACCATCTAAATCCCAGCTGCAGATACCTGCCTCCCTTTTCCTGAGGGTTTTCACTGAATACTGGTTGTCACCGCCTGTGTGGGAAGCAAGGCACACGTGCTAGAAATTACCATCCTTCTCCCCAGCCCAGGAGTGCCAGCCTGTGACTACAGAGCTGGGAATCATACCTTCCTTCAGGGTGAGATAATTCTGGGCCGTGTTCTTCAGAGACCCCAGAATGGCATCGCATGGTGAAAGCTCCAGGTGCCCATGACCATAACTGGCTTATTTATAGTTTTAAGCTTTCTTTCCTCCTGGTCTAATTCCCAGCTGTGCTTCCTGGAATCACCTACCAAATAAACTCCTTACCCTCATGTCCTGGACTCAAAGTCAGCTTCCTCAGGAATCCAAATGAAGAGCATGTCACAGTAGCATCGCGTGGGCACAATACTTACTTGGTGTGAAAACTGTATGCCAGGCATTTTATTCTAGAATACATCCAATGATTTTTTTTTTTTAGTTATTTCTGTGTGTTTTCATTTTCTGTGGCTAGAGTACTTTTGTTTCTAATTAGTTCATTCTGTTGCTGGGCTAACTGAGGGTCAAGCATGGCCCACCTCCAGAGAAAGATGAAACACAAGCCGTGGTACCCAGATGTATTTCTCCCAAAGTCCTGTCCTGAAGATAGATAATGCTATTAGAAAGTAGAACCTATAATTAGTGTATAATTAGTGTACTTACCAGTAAAATACACACTAGATTGTGATAAATTTGCATGTTTGAAGGCAAAAGAAAGAAATACTTTCAAGGTGCTTTTAGTTAGCCACCATTGAAAAAAAAAATAAAAGTTCCATTTTGCACTGAATTCATTTCTGTTGTAACCAAGCTATTAACTCAACTGTGCTGAGCTAGCCATTTCATTTAGGCTAATAAGAGATGATTGCCTATCCTGTTATGTGAGCGTTTTGAAAGAATAATTTAGTTTCTAGCAGCACAGTAAAAAAGTAGTATACAGTAAATATTTAGCTATACTTATTTTGTGATTTTACAACTGAGTTCAAATTTGATTAAAATCCAAACCCTGCCTCAGGACCTTTGCATTTGCTCTTCACCCTATCTGAACCATGTATCTCTGCATGGCTGCTACTTTTTCATTATTTGGGTGACAGAAAGAGCTTATCCTTCTACTGTGTAAGATTGTGCTGTCTACTAGCCACTTGCCACATGTAGAGGTTGAGCGATTTTATGAAATGTAAGCTACATATGTATAAAATGCAGACTAGATTTTGAAGACTGGGTGTGAAAAACAGAAGTAAAATGTTGCACTAATAAGTTTTCATGTTGATTATATTTTGCAATCTTTTTGGATATAACAGGTTAACTATATATTAAAATTAATTGAAGCTGTTCTTTTTTACTCTTCTTGGTGTGACTACAAGAAAAATTTTAAATAGACATGTGGCTTCTGTTTGTGGCCCAGGTGGTATTTCTATGG